GTTAGATTAGTCAATAAAGTTTAATTTTGTATAAAGAAAGGTGCCTGTGTATATTTATGAATCTAATGTCTTAAACTTCGATCTTGTTACCCTGATCAAACTTAGTGGGTTTTATTTTTGATAGTAATAGCCATAATAAACTCGACTGCCCACTCGAACAATCGCTGGACGATTCGTTTGTTCAGATCTAAAGAGTCGATTCATTTGAAGCCCTGTTCAAATGAATCTTCCTCCCGCTAAACTAATCCGCTATATATATATGTGTGTGTGTGTGTGTGTGTGTGTGTGTATATATATATATATATATATATATATATATATATATATATATATATATATATATATATATATATATATATAGTGGTGCAGAAGATAAGCGAGCAGTGTAATCAAAATCATAACTCGCAACATTATAACAGTGGAAAAGGCATGGGAAGAATAACCTTGAGCCAATTGATCACAGTAGTAATGGTGTAGATATGCGAGCACTTTAATCCACATTATAATTTGTTACAGATTAGATGAAATTACATGAAATTTTACATGTGAAACACAAAAACCACATGTGAAATGCACATGTGATCACATGTGAAATTCATGTGACTTTTCTGTAAGGGACCATTTAAGCATTGTGTCAACTCCACAGCCTAATTGAGTGTTGTTGCTGACCATGTCCATCCCTTTATGACCAGTGTACCCATCTTCTGATGGCTACTTTAAGCAGGATAACGTGCCATGTATTAAAGTGAGAATCATCTCAGACTGGTTTCTTTAACATGACAATAAGAGATGTGGTAAAACGGGACATTGGCATCATGGATGTGCAGCTGACAAATCTGCAGCAACTGCGTGATGCAATCACGCCAAAATGGAGCAAAATCTTTGAGGAATATTTCCTGTACCTTGTTGAATTTATTCCACATAGGATTAAGGCAGTTCTCAAGGGAAAAGAGGGTCCAACTCCCTGTACAATTTGGGCGTACCTAATAAAGTGGCTGGTGTGTGTGTGTGTGTGTGTGTGTGTGTGTGTACAGTATGTGTGTGCATGCGTGCGTGTGTATATATGTTTGTATTTACAGTTGAAGTCAGAATTATTAGCCATCCTTTGAATTGTTTTCTCTTTTTTAAATATTTCTCCAATGATGTTTAACAGAGCAAATACATTTTCAAAGTATGTCTGATAATTTTTTTTCTTTTGGAGGAAGTATTATTTGCTTTATTGCCCTTTTAAGTTATTTTTCGATGGTCTACAGAACAAATCATCATTACAATAAATTGCCTAAATACCCTAACGTGCCTAGTTAACCCAATTAACCTAGTTAAGCCTTTAAATGTCACAAAGCTGTATAGAAGTGTCTTGAAAAATATCTAGTAAAATATTATTTACTTTCATAATGGCAAAGATAAAATAAATCAGTTATTAGAAATGAGTTATTAAAACTGTTATGTTTAGAAATGTGTTAAAAAATCTTCTCTCTTCTGTTAAACAGAAATTGGGAAATTCTAACTTCAACTATAAATAAAGGTAGTGCTGTTGCCTCACAGCAAGAGGGTCGCTGGTTCAAGCCTCGGCTGGGTCAGTTGGCATTTCTGTGTGAAGTTTGCACAGGAGGAAACCCATGCGAATGCAGGTAGAACATGCAAACTTCACACAGAAATGGCATCTGACCCATTTGAATCAAATAGCGAAAATTAAAGTAACATAAATTTCATTCATTCTTTTTGCTTCATAGTCCCTTAATTATCTGGGGATGCATGAACCGTCAACTATTCCAGCATATGTTTTACAGGGCGTATGCCCTTCCAGCTGCAACCCAGTTCTGGGAAACACCCATACACTCTCACATTCACATATAACATTTAGTTTATTCAATTCACCTATACCGCATCTCTTTGTGAACATATGGAGAACATGCAAACTCCACACAGATATGCCAACTGGCCCAGCTGGGACTCGAACATTTATTCAAGCCATCTTGTTGCTGCGTGTTCAGCTCCTCCATCTACAGCTCAAGTCCCTCACGGCCCAAGAGAGAGAGAAAATGAGAGAAGAGTGACAGTTAAAAATTGTCAGCAGGAGCATCCTCTGTGCCCCTCCCTTACAGCCAAACCATCACATACCCACACAGAGTTAAGAGTGCGAAGGACAGGAAGACATACAAACACCAAATGCTCAGGACCCAACCTGAGACCTTAATGGCTGACTTCTGCCAAAAAAGACACTCATGCACCATCACTAATTTGCAGCTGTACACAGAAAACAGCAATGCTTGGCACAAAGCTATCTGTATTACAAGAATAAAAAAAAAACACAGCATCTGCAATGGAAGACAAATCCAAATTCATGATGAGGACCGTGACCCCCTTTTTAACCGTAAATATATACCACATTGGAACAATAATGTTTCAGGGGAATGAAGCCTGTCTCATCTTTGTACAAGATCAATTTAATGAGCTTCAATTAATAGTAGAGCAAGAGAGACAACCAGGCAGAGCAGACAGCAGTGCTAAAGGCAGGTGCTCCAGCCTGTAGCTGGAGCTGGAAGAGCTTGTCCTGGACTGTGATGCCCAGCTGGAGCGGTCAGTCACTCAGATATGCAACAGCCTGTCTCTACAAGATGTGGAGCTGGTGGAGCTCTGAGAACTGGTGCTGTCATTGACAACATCCAACAAATGCCTTCAACAACTAGAAAACAAATTGCAGCTGCTCAACCAAGAATATAAATATAGTGTTGAAGAACTGAGGAGAAAAAAAAAGTTACAACAGGACAAAAACACCTTAAACACTGAGCTGATGACTGTAAAAGAAGAATTGATCATCAGAGAGAGAAAAAAAAAAAGGGAAACAGAAACCCTCGCTCGGTCTACATCAAGCACCACTCAGACACCACCTGAAACAAACACACAGAGAGCAGACACACGTCAGCCCAAACACAGCTGAGATCAGGAGAACACATGCAGAAAGGCAGAAATAGTTATCTTAATGGACTCATATGGCAAGTACATCAATGAGAAACGGCTATTCCCCAGTCACACAACATTGAAACGCTGGTGCCCAAACACAGCTAGTGCCTTTCTTTAGCTGGACAAAGAGGAACTTTTTAATCCCAGCCATATCATCATACACATAGGGACAAATGACCCGAAGACACAACAAGAACAAGTTGCACAGTCCATTACACAAGTGGCAATTAAAGAAACTGAGACTTTTCCATCTTCAAAAATAATCATCTACAACCTTCTACCCAGAACTGATTTCCACCCGCGGACTATACAGAGAGTGAACACGGAGATCTCACGTAAATGTGCTGAAATACCAAACATTCGCATCGGGGTGTGGTAGGTGTGTGGGACAGTAAGAGGGGTTGTCGCGAACTGAAGAGCGGGGTCGCGGGCGTACTTAAGATTATTTGGGAAGGGCACTTTCTATCCAAGACTAAAAAGGACATGTGCACTGCACAGGTTAAGCCCTATGTGTGCACGTGCCTGCCCAGCACCCTCAGCCTCCACACCCTGTGACAGTGCACACTAACCCTCCTCAGCATCAACACCCTCTGCCAGTGCACCCACGCCCTTAGCATTCGCACCCTGTGTCAGTGCACCCAAACCCTAAGCATCCACGCTCTGTGACAGTGCACCCAAACCCTAAGCATCCACACCCTGTGACAGTGCCTCCAAACCCTCCACAGCATCCACACCCTGTGCCAATGCACCCACTCCCTCCTCAGCATCCACACCCTGTGCCAGTGCTCCCACACCCTCAGCATCCATGCCCTGCGGCAGTGCACCCACACCCTTAACATCCATGCCCTGTGCCAGTGCACCCACACCATCAGCATCCATGTCCTGTGCCAGTGCACCCACACCATCAGCTCCCATGCCTTGTGCCAGTACACCCACATTCTCAGCACTCACACCCAAGGCCAGCATGCCTACACCCTCAGTAGTTTTGCCATCAGCCTCCACACCCTCATCAACTACAGCAGTATCTTGTAGTACCACCACATCACCAGCAGAGGAAACAGCTTGTATTCGGAGAAGTCCCAGTGTTGGGTAACAACACCAGCAGTTACAGACAACAACAGGGAACTGAGCTATGCTGCAGCACTGAAACTGCCAGTGGACACACACAGCACCAGTCTGAAAGAGATCAAACGCATGATCAGTTTAATCTGCACTCGGCTGATTGAATAGTTGTGAATAAAATACTCAATATTGCTTGGACTCTAGATAATTTTGATAATGTTAATTATAATTTATGATATTTTAATATAATATATCATATAACTGTTTATGATATTTAGGTAGTTTATGGTTTATATGGATTGGTTCTATTCTAGAGGAATGTTAAAATTGTTTGTTGAGCAAATGAAACCGTTGACGATCTATTATTATTTTTGTATTGATTTGTATAAATAATATATGCTAAATAATAATATGATATTTTAAATAATAATATGAAATATTAATATTAATGTGATATATATATATATATATATATATATATATATATATATATATATATATATATATATATATAATATTGTGATGAATTGCATAATATGATATATTGTCTATATTTTATTTAAATATTATATATAAATATCTTTTTTTTTACTAATACTATCTATTGTGTACTGTTTATTAAAATTATTATTATTATATATGCATGTTACTTTTTATGTAAACTTTAGAACTGCTTTGGCAATACATTTGTAACATTTGTCATGCCAATAAAGAAATTATTGAATTGAATAGAGAGAGAGAGAGAGAGAGAGAGAGAGAGAGAAAGAGAGAGAGAGAGAGAGAAAGAGAGAGAGAGAGAGAGAGAGAGAGAGAGAGAGAGAGAGAGAGAGAGAGAGAATATTCTGGTCATTTTTTTTACATCTGTCCGATGGTCTTGTCTTCCACTGTCGTCACTCCTGTTAATCCTCCACAGGTGTCTCTCATTACCAATCACACCAGCGGCCTATAAATATGAATCAATAAGCCTTATCTGCAGTGTTGTAGACAGTTTGTGTCAGAATCATGTTTACTTTTGGTATCTTCCTTACCTGTAAGTCACATGCATCAAACTCAGTTCCAGCTCTGCACAAATTTACTTTAACACTAGTTAATCGTGCTTAATCTAACTAATTTAGTCTATCAAATTAGTTTGAAACCTACAGGTAAATGTGTTAAAGCGGAGTTGAAACTAAATTCTTCAGGACTGTTGTCCTCTAGAATCTGTGTTTGACTGCCCTGCTGAAAGTTTCTTATTAAACTTAAAGAGATTTACTCAAAGTTTTACTGCACAGTTGAGATCTGGATAGTTTCCTAATGGGATAAGCTTTGTACTAATGTGAATTTGTCTGTGATGCACCGGTGTCAGTTTTCATTTATTTGTTTTTCAGTAATGGTTCTGAATTACAGCCTGGCTTCCAGGGAAGTAAAGAAAGTGATTGTTTATGGGGGAAAAGGAGCACTGGGCACAGAGAGTGTGCGCTACTTCAGAGCCAAACATTGGGTAAGTTGGATTAATTCAGAAGAAAGACTACTTCATTGAAAATAAGTTTGCCTACACCATAGGCTTATGTTTTGATAATGGTTAATTATTTACTGTACTAACCACCAGTCGTATACGTTTCTCATTAAATATTGATTAATTAATATCTTCTGGCCTGTTATGTCAAAATGACCATTTTGATTTTTTTTTTTTCCTTCCTCAGTGGGTTGTATCTGTTGATGTCAGAGTCAACAAAGAAGCCAATGCAAATGTTAAAGTTAAGATGACTGAATCCTTCACTGATCAAGCCAAACAGGTACACTGTGTAAAAGACTTTTTTTTTTTTTTTTTTTTTTTTAACTTAAGCATGTTTTAATCAGAGCCAATTCCATTCATTCAGTTCCCAGAAGTTTGCTAAAACTAGGGCTCTTTTCCATAAGTTTAAAAGCACCTGCTTTAAGAATCAAAGAATGTAAAGAAATTAAAAGTTCTGATGTTTTTGTTCTAAATGTAATGCTTAATGTAAGTTTTGCTGTGCATTAACTTTCTACATATTATTGTTAAAATAATTTAAGATTTGAAATTAATAAATTGGCATCAAAATAAGATTCTTAGTGATTTAACCAATGGCAGTGCTGGCCAATGCATTTGTTGGCTGTAATGATGGCATACCCCAAAGTACGCTAGGTGAAAGATTGTCTAGACCTTTCATGTAATGCTCTGAGCTTATGATTTTCAGTTTGATGTTTGGCAAAATGTTTATTTGGACTACAGAAAAGGTTGTAAACTCTTTACCCCGTAATGTTCGAGCAGTTAAGGAAACCGCAATTACAGTGTATGGAACATCCAAGCATATGTGAAGCAACGATCACACTAGGGTTTGTGCTTGTGAATTTCTGTCGTACAGTGCTGTGAAAAGGGTGGCGGGATTAAACAAGATGACTAGACATCTAAAACGGCAAGCGATTGGTTTAGGTTTTAAATTCCTGCCCAGAGAGGTCATGTTTTGATCATCGATTAGCCTCGCGCAGTCAAGACATGATTTTTGCATGTCAGAGTTCACCAAGCTTTAACCATGCACTACAGTGAACTGCGAAACTTGACGCATGAATTTGTGTTTGTGGTCTGATGCATTTGCATGCGTATAAATTTAAGTCTATCGGGGGAAAAAAGTGCAGTGTGACCGCAGCTTTATACCAGTGTTTCCCAACCCTGTTCCTGAAGGCACACTAACAGAACTTTTTTTTTTTTTTTTTTTTTTTTTTTTTAATAAATACACCTTCCTAATAACGCATACCTGAATCAACTCAACAGAAAATTAAAAGACACTTCAGAATCTCATTGTTAATTTAAGAGAAACATCTGAAATGTTCTGTTTGTGTGCCTCAAACAGGGTTGGGGAAACTGTGTATACAGCCAACATGGAGAAGCAAAGAAAGGGCTATAGTAAATCCAGTTAATTTAAGCACCTCACATTAATGTTGTTTCAAGTAACTTGTATCTGTTTATTCCCCCCCCCCCCCCCTGCCCCCTCATAGGTAACAGTGGGTGTTGGTAAGCTGTTGGGTGTTGAGAAAGTTGATGCCATCTTCTGCGTGGCTGGAGGTCAAGCAGAGGGCAATGCTAAAGCCAAATGTTAGTACTGGTCTCATAGATTTTTCAGACATGATCTGTTGCAATGGCATTGTCAAAGATACCACTTGGAAGCTTTGTTGCTTTCTGAAGTGTTTTGTGTATTTTGCACTGTTAAAAGGATGCAAGATCTAGTTCAATAATTGTCCTGAAGTTTCAGTTATGTGATTGTTTGACTGTATGAGGGGTTTTATTTTTTCTCAGCTCTGTACAAGTATGCGGATCTGATGTGGAAACAAAATGTGTGGACCTCCACTATTTGTACTCACCTAGCAACCAGATACCTGAGAGTGGGGGGACTGCTCACACTGACTGGAGCCAAAGTAGCACTGGGGCCGACAGCAGGTGTAAAACTTCATTTATTTTCTTCCCTTCATTTCTGGAATGAAATGCAAATGTATAATTGACAAACCAATTTGTTATTAATGTAAAATGGTTTAGGGTAAAAACATTTTATTACAAATAGTTTAACTTTTTTTGTTTGAAACAAACAATTGACCATGTTGACAGTTTTGTGCTTTAGCTTGAGAACTTGCTGATGGTCAATGGTAATTAAATATCTTTAGTTGGAAATACATTTTGTAAACTTTAGCTTTTCATTTCAGCACTGTTTAAAATGTTTTTACAACTGCTCTAAAGGTTAAGATGTCGTCTTTTTAAATAATAATAATAATAATAATAATAATAAAAGGTTATTACCAGGTCTGGTGGGAGTAAATCTTAACATTAGATCATTGACTTAGATTAGACCGTAAGCATCTGCTTATGAACAATTAATTTTCTAATTTATAAAAAGCTTGTAGTTGCATTTTGTGTATAGGTGTGGAAGAACATGGAGTTGCTGTTTTTTGTTAATTTTATTATGATCTCTAAGAAGGAATTAGGCTTTTTCCTTTTTATAGTCAACGTACCATGGCTTAGGCAGGGTTAAAATAAGCTCGTTTTCAGAAATGCCGTCAAGTAAAACCTAGGCCAGGGGTTCTCAAACTTTTTGTCCTGGAGATCCAGTGTCCTGCAGATTTTAACTCCACTTGCCTTAACACCTGCAAGGATGTTTCTAGAAAACTTAGAGCTTGTTTAGCCAGTCCAGTTATATCTGATTGGGGTTCGAGCATAAAAGCTGTATGGCTAAGCAAAATTATGTACATTTTTATAGTGCAAATATTAAAATTGTATGGGAATAAATAGGCAGCTCTTTATATAGGTGTAACCATTAAATGTACCTCTTAAGAATTTCCTACTTGGACATAAATCATTGGTTAAATCAAAATATTGTGTAATAAAACATGCTGTTTTATATTCGTTAAATGGATCAGTGCACCCTTTTACGGTTTACCTCAGGTGGGTGGGTGCAGTTGATTTTGTAAAAAAAAAAACACAGGCTGCTAAATAGTCCAGCTAATTCCACTTAATTTCTCTTAACTTGTTCTTGATCCTGTTCAGCCAAGGTCTAATGAATTTTTATATATAAAAATAATAATTCTGTAAGATATGACTTGGTTCGATCTCTTCTATTGTTCTAGAATCTGTTAGTTTTGGAATGGCAAAGGCATCTGTACATCAGCTGACCCGGAGTCTCGGTGGGCCAAACAGTGGTCTTCCACCACGATCTGTTGCTCTAGCAATCCTTCCGTAAGAAATACAAATATACTTAGTCAACTCATTGGTCCCGAATCCTTGTTTGACTAATATTTACTACCTTTTAGAGTAACTTTGGATACACCCACAAATAGAAAGATCATGCCCAATGCTGATGTCAGTTCCTGGACCCCGCTTAATCATGTAACCCAGTAAGTATAAGTGTATTAGAGTGTCTAGAGTTTGTCTGTGTGCACAAAGATATGATGCATTTTTTTTCCCATTCTAGGCTGTTCTTTAAGTGGACTGTTGGTAAAAGCAGACCACCGTCAGGTAGTCTTGTGGAGCTTGTTACTACAAATGGCAAAACAGTAGCTACCCCTATTAAAAGCGTTTAACATATTAATCAGCTGTCAGTCTCCCAATAAAGACTGTTTTAAGTGATTAATTTTGTGCTGTCTTCGTTTGCTCGCACATCACTCACATGCTTTATTCAATCATACTGCAAATTTTCTTTGGTAAACTCTGCTTGTACAGAAAAGATTTTCACCTAACAAACAAATGAAATAAAATTTAAATATTTACCCCCTCTGGTATATGGTTGAAAACAGTGGTGCAGACTGGTTTATTAAAAAAAAAAAAAAAAAAAAGTCTTCCATCACAAACTAAAGTTCTTGTCTGTCAGTGCAAACTCAAATTATTATTATTATTATTATTTTTTTTTTGTAGTAGTAGTATACAGGAACAATTAGCATAAGTTGGCTTATGTAGTTGTTAATCATTCTTTCTCTTCTGCCTTATCACTATCAACCTGTGCTAGAACGCTGATCTGATTTATCTACACTTTGTCACGTGGTGCTGCCAAAGTTTGGTAATAGATTCTTTTGAAAACTTTGTTTAAAAATCCTTCATATATAAGTGGGTGACAATTCACTTTGGTCAAATCAGTGTGAACATGGGGGCTTTTTGTTTAATGTTTTATTATAATTTTTTTTAAAAGAAATATTTAAATTTGTTTCCAACTTCTGACTCCTATTTATAATAATTTAAATTTAGATGCATCTAATTCAAGCTAATCACCTTATAGGTTGTGATTTAGTCTAATTTAAATCGATTAACCTAATAATTATTTTTAGTTAATGGTTCATTTACCCAAACTTGCTTAGAATCAGTTATGCTGGCCAGTTACATCTGGTCATGAACACAGCCTCGCCAGTTCTAGTTCTTAGATAGAGGATATAACTAAACTAATATTGTTTAATTAATATTAGGCTGCTCCATGCTTGAGCATAAGAATAGTTTGATTTAGCCACTAGAATCTAGATTATAAGTCAGTGATTTGTCAGAAATTAACAGGTTTCAACAGCTGCGTTCACACTTGACTTTTCTCCCCATAGACTTCTAGACATGCGAATGTGTCAGACCGGAAGCACAGGGTCATGCATTAAGTTTCGCCGGTCACTGTTATGCAAAGTTCATGCTTGGTGAACTCTGACCTGCGAAATCGCGTGACTGCGTGAGACCAATCGAGGATCAAAACATGACCTCTTTGGACAGAAATTTAAAACCTGGAGCAATTGCTCACTTTTTTTTTTTTTTTAAATGTCCAATAACCTTGTTTAATCCCGCCCCTCTTTGCAGTGCCGTATGACAGAATTCCGCACACACAAATGTGACTGCAGCTTAATGCTGTGCCAATGCTCCATCCATTAAGCCTGAGGGTATGAGCAATCCTGGTCATAAGCTGCGGAAACATCAGCCTAAACAACCTATAAAGATTTCTGGAGATATTTCAGTTCAACAAGAATTTTACATTTATTTATCAGGCAAAGATTTTTGATGCCAATTTCGTAATTAAATAAGCCAATTTAAAAATGTACAACATCAATTACCCAAAGATGCATTTAAGAGTTAGAGATTAATAGGCCTACCTGACCAAGAAGTACGTTGCAGCATGCAGAGCTCAGACTCAACACTGATATATCCGATATCCTGGGAACAGAATCCCACAGACACTTTTGCACCTTTTTTTTTTTTTTTTTAATAGGTACACCATATACAAAAAACTTGGACATTCTATGTGGAATGTGTGTGTGATCTGATCTGGTGGATCGTCACCAATCGGTGGGACAAAATGATTGTCACCTTAATCAATTTGTGTTTGGACAGCCTGAAGGAATTGTCTGAAACCCCCCCTTTTTACTGTGTACAAAGAGAGAATGTCAAAGTGGTTCTGAAGATTTTCATAAGGTGGGATTGTAAAAATACAACAATTTTACCAGAGGATGTCTATATTCACGCACTGTTGCCAACATCTCTGAATATAAAAGTGATTTTTTTGTTGAATAAAGTGTTGTATTCAATATGTTCTGGAACGGGTGAGAAAATAATAAACATTCAAGCTGTCATTCAGTGATTTCTCATTCAATTCTCACCTATTCACATTCTATTTGAGTTTGAAGATTTTATTCTGTTTGCCCTCAAAGGGTTTGTTAAGCCAATACAAAGAAAGTTTATATTTTGTTTATTTATTCAAGTTTATTTGAAATAGTTTTCTTAAGATAACCATCAAAAGAGCACGCTTTAATAATAACACATACATTTATTCAAGCTGTCAATCAGTGATTTCTCATTTAATTCTCAAGTATTCACATTCTGATTGAATTTGAAGAATCATAAGAGAAGTTCCAGTTAAATATTCAGGTTATCATTTATGCATCTGTCCGATGGTCTTCTTCGGTCTTTCACTGTCATTTCGCCTCCTGTTAATCCTCCGCTGGTGTGCCGCACAGGTGTCCCTCATTAACACTCACACCAGCGGTCTATAAATATGAAACAGTAAGCACTTTCTGCAGTGTTGAAGACAATCTGTGTCAGAATCATGTTATCGTTTGGCATTCTCCTTACCTGTAAGTCACATGCTTCAAACTCAGTTACAGTTCTGCACAAATTTACTTTAACACTAATTAAACATGCCAACACTAATTGAGTCCTTAGGATTTGTTTGAGACATGCAGGTAAGTGTGTTAAAGCAGAGCTGGAACTAACTATTTCAGGGCTGTGGTCCTCCAGGATCTGTTTGACAACCCTGCTGAGAGTTTCTTATTAAACTGAAGGAGATGCATGTAATGTTTAGCTGCACATTTGATATCTGGAATGTTTTCTCATGGGTTATTTATTTTTTTTAACTGATGTGACTTTGTCTAAGGTGCACAGGTGTTATAAATTTTAATTGTTTTTCAGTAATGGTTCTGAATTCCAGTCTGGCCTTCAGCGAAGTAAAGAAAGTGATTGTTTATGGGGGAAATGGAGCACTGGGTTCAGAGAGTGTGCGCTACTTCAGAGCCAAAAACTGGGTGAGTTATCTCAGAAGAAAGACCATCAATGAAATAAGCTTGCTTGGCAGTGTGCCACCAGATGCACTTATATTTTGAGTTTATTTACTGTAAGCAGTGTTATACACTTCACGTTTAACATTGATTTAACTTTATTTTCTTATGTGCTGTTATGACAATCTTTTTATTATTATTTTTTTTTTTACTCTGCTCAGTGGGTTGCCTCTATTGCTCATAGCATTAACGCAGAAGCCAGTGCAAATGTTAAAGTTAAGATGACTGAATCCTTCACTGAGCAAGCCAAACAGGTACACTGCAAAATAAAACCATCTCTCCCCCACCCCTTAAGTTTCATGCTTATTTTAATTCTACTCTGTAAAACCCAACAGTCAAGTTTATCGAATGAAATGAGTAGTTAACTCAATTGAATTCTACTACTAAGAGTTTAGAATTTGGGTTTTTAAGGTAATGAGTTTTATCATTACTTCAACTTAAATGAAGTAAGTTAACAGTACTTAAACTTGTTAAATGGTTTGTTGCAAGCGGTTTCCACAAATAGTTTGAGTTTGCTCTACATTTTGGGTTTTACAGAAGTTTTGCTGTACATTAATGTTCTCCCTATGAATTAATTGTTGTGAGAATTAGTATAATTTATTGATTGTTAAAACTGTAAGGAATGGTTTTTTTTTTTAGCAATTATTAAATGGAGTTTTGAAGCATGCGTTGTACAAGTGTTTCCCAACCCTGTTTCTGAAGGCACACTAGTACAAGATTTCAACCTCTTCCTAATCAGATGCTCCTAAATCAACTTGGCAGAACATTTAACTGATCCCGAACCGTGAAATTGGCTGATTAGATTTAATAAAGACCTCCCAAATATGTTCTGCTGATGTGCCTCCAGAAACAGTTGGGAGAGCTGTGTAAAAAGCCACCATGGAGAAGCAAAGAGCTACAGTAAATGAAGTTAATTTTAAAGCACATTTCACATTAATGCTGTTTCAGGTAACTTTTGTATCCGTTTATTCCCTCTTCTGCCCCCTCATAGGTAACAGTGGGTGTTGGTAAGCTGTTGGGTGATGAGAAAGTTGATGCCATCTACTGCGTGGCTGGAGGTCAAGCAGAGGGCAATGCCAAAGCCAACTGTTAGTACTGGTCTTGCAGGTTTTTCTGACCTTATGTGACAGTGGTTTTGTTACATGATTTTTGACTCCATATGAAACTAATATTTTTTTTTTCAGCTCTGTACAAGTATGCTGATCTGATGTGGAAGGAGAATGTGTGGACCTCCACCATTTGTACTCACCTAGCAACCAAATACCTGAGAGAGGGCGGGCTGCTCACACTGTCTGGGGCCAAAGTAGCACTGGGGCCAACAACAGGTGTGTAAGGGTTTTTTTTTTTTTTTTTTTTTTTTTTTTTTTTTTCTCTCTCACGCCCCCCCCCCCCCCCCCCGCTCTCCTTACTCCCTTCCTTAATGTTATACGAATGTATAGACAAACCAAGTCTTTAATCTAAAATGTTTTACTAATGTTAACAACTTTGAAACCAGCTGTTGACAATTTTGTGCTTTTGAGCTCTATGCAAACTTGCTGAATTACCACTGAACATCAGTATCTTCAGCTGAAAGTGTACTTTTTTCTGAACTTTAAGACACCTGACCTCCAGAATTGATATTGAACCCCCTGCACTAGACTAAGTTGAATTTTCTAGTGTTTGACGACTTGTGTTAATATTTTATGAAAATAAATATGCAATTTTTTATTTTTTTATATGGCTGTAAAGATCAAAAGTACCTCCATCGAGAATCTGCTACTTGGATTTGCTAAGTCACTTAATCAAATGAATAAAGATTATGCCATTTTTTTATATTTGTTAAATGCATCAACACTCCGCTTATCCAAGATGGGCCAAGTTGATTTCTTGTAATAAAACACAGGCCATTCAATTGTTCTGATAATCCCGCTACACTGAATCCCAAAATTGCTATTAATTTTCTCAATCTTGACCATACAAGTTGGAGGATTTTCTTATGTGACTGTTTGCGCTCTCCCATTGTTCTAGAATCTGTTAGTTTTGGAATGGCAAAGGCATCTGTACATCAGCTGACCCAGAGTCTCAGTGGGCCAAACAGTGGTCTTCCACCGCGATCTGTTGCTCTAGCAATCCTTCCGTAAGGAATGCAAATATACAGAGTGCACTCATTTGTCCAGAATCATTGACTAATATTTACTGTTTTCATTTATTATTTAGAGTGACTTTGGATACCCCCACAAATAGGAGGATCATGCCTAATGCTGATGTCAGTTCCTGGACACCACTAAATCATGTAACTCAGTAAGTATGTGTATTAGTGTCTGGTTTTACTTGTGTGCACAAAGCTATGATGCTTTTCTCCCATTCTAGGCTGTTCTTTAAGTGGACTGTTGGAGAAAGCAGACCAGCTTCAGGCAGTCTTGTGGAGCTTGTTACCGCTAATGGCAGAACAGTGGCTACCCCTATTAAAAGCCCTTAGCATATTAATCAGCTGTCAGTCTCCCAATAAAGACTCTTTTTAAACTTATTTGTACTGTCTTTACTAACCTGCTCATACATCACTCACCAGCTTGATTTAATCTTTTTTTTTTTTTTAAGCATTTATCTAAGGACTTAAAATATTTGGTAAACATCTGAAATGGGTGGTTTTTCTAAATTGTCATCTGACAAGAATTATTGATAATGGTGTGACAAACACCCGTCCATGAAGCAGCTTAAAGCTAATTGTCCAAATGCTTTTGGACCCTTAACAAGTGGGAGGCACTTACTGTATGCAAACTGTTGTTGCGCAAATATTTATGAATGTGTTTCACTTGCAAAAGTGATTTGTATTTGACAAGTAAGTCAAACATTTGTGAACAAATGTTTAATTTAAAGTCATGTAATCTTAATTTTATTCCATTTTAAGCAACATATAAAGAGGTGATTAAAAATCTAAATTTCCTTATAATAATCTCAATACTTTGCAAAGCCTAATTATCTTTTAATGACAAAATTATTAGTGAAAATTATTTTTCAAATGAATCTGGTGAAGAAAATGTATATAAACTGAAATTGAATAAATCCTAATTAGGAGCTTTGGTATAAAAACTAAAGATTTTACTCATGTTTAAAATAATCAATTGCATACATATCACACAACATATTTAGAAAAAGCAGCCCTATCTAGCTAGTGGTACTAAATACAAATTGTTCACCTCCAAAAGAAACTGATGGCTACACTGGTTTAAATAATTCATATTAATGTGACTGAAAATAACCATGTATGGTAACTTAGCTGACATTGATTTCTCTCTTTATATAGCATTCTATAATTCTATAATCTCTTTATATAGCACTTCTAATAATCAAGCAATCCAGAGGTTAAAGTGTATCTCACCTTAAAATGAGGAATCCTGAACTTGAATGATAATTAGCTTTGCATAGCATCAAAACAGGACTAACCTTATGTTTGAGAATATCTGACAATGTTGCAAGAAGTGGCTGTGAAGAAGGTAGACTGGAGACTACGGTGTTCATTTGTGCATCCTAAAACTCAACACTTGTATTACCTCTAGTTGCTGACATTATCTTTGGCAGGTACTGTGTGGAAAAAAAACTGTAGACTACTGCTTTTCACTCAGGGCTGTCTAAGCTAAAGAGAGTGAGATAGTCAACAATGGGTGGGGCAAAATGATTGTCAACTTAAGCTGCAGTCACACTGTACTTCTCTCCCAATAAACTTCTATTCATATACATGCTAATGCGTCAGACCAAAAACGCAAGCACCTGCGACAGGTTTCACAGTTCGCTGCATCGCAAAGTTCAAGCTTGGTGAACTCCGATCTGTGAAATTCCATCACTTAACTGTCTGAGATCAATTGAGGATCAAAACATGACCAATCGCTCGCTTTTTTTAAAAAGTCTAATCATCTTGTTTATTCCCACCTCTTTTCACTGCGCCGTACGACTGTACGACTAGTGTGACTGCAGAATTAATCGTTTTGTGTTTGGACAACGTGAAGGAATTGTGTGGAACCCAGCAAAGTTTTTAGTGTGTACAAAGAGAGAATGTTAATCAAAGTGTTTCTTAATGTTTTTATGAGGTATGATTATAAAAAATATAACACAATTTTACCATTAGAGGATGTCTATATTCATACACTGCTGCCAAACATCTGTGAATATAAAAGTAATTTTCTTGGATAAAACGTATTTAGTATGTTCTTGAATAGGTGAGAAAATAATAAACATACATTTATTCAAGCTGTCATTCAGTAATTTCTCATTCAATTCACAAGTATTCACATTCTGATTGAATTTAAACCATAATAAGAGAAGTTCCAGTTACATGTTCTGGTAGTTTATGCATCTGTCCGATGGTCTTCTCTGGTCTTTCACTGACTTCACCTGTTAATCCTCCACAGGTGTGGCGCACAGGTGTCTCTCAATAACACTCACACCAGCGGTCTATAAATATGAAACAGTAAGCTCTTTCTGCAGTGTTGAAGACAATCTGTGTCAGAATCATGTTTACTTTTGGTATTCTCCTTACCTGTAAGTCACAAGCATCAAACTCAGTTCCAGCTCTGCACAAATTACTTTAACACTAATTAAACATGCTTAAACTAATTGCATCTATAAGTTTTGTTAGAAACCTGCAGGTAGCTGTGGTAAAGCAGAGCTGGAACTAAACTCTTCAGGGCTGTGGTCCTCCAGGATCTGTGTTTGACAGTCTTGCTGAAAGTTTCTTATTGAGCTGAAGATGATTTGAATGTTTGGCTGTACAATTGAGATCTGAATGGGTTTCTCGTGGGTTAAGTTTTGTACTAATGTGTGTTTTTTTGAGTTTTCAATTGTTTTTGTTTTTCAGTAATTGTTCTGAATTCCAGTCTGGCCTTCAGCGAAGTAAAGAAAGTGATTGTTTATGGGGGAACTGGAGCACTGGGACTAGAGAGTGTACGTTATTTCAGAGCCCAAAATTGGGTAAGTTGCATCAACTCAAAACCTCTTCATTGAAATAGGTTTGCTTAGCAGTGTGCCACCAGATGGTAGTTTGATAGTTTATTTACTGTAAGCAGTGTTATTCACTTAAACATTTGATTGCATTTTATTTTATGCTGTTATGGCAAGATGACCAAATGTTTTGTTTTATTTTTTTCCCCTTTTCTCAGTGGGTTGCCTCTATTGCTCATAGTGTCAACAAAGAAGCCAGTGCAAATGTTAAAGTAAAGATGACTGAATCCTTCACTGAGCAAGCCAAACAGGTACACTGCCTAAAAGAATAGGACCATCTCTCCCTAACCCCCCCCCAAATAAATGCTTATTTTAATTCCACACTGTAAAACCCAACGGTGAAGTTTATCAAACAAAACGAGTGTAGTTAACCACATTAACAGTTCAAAACTCCTCAAATGAGTAGAATTAACTTTGTCAAAGTCATTTAGTTTTATATCTCCTTACTTCAACTTAAATGGAGTAAGTTAACAGTACTCAAATTTGTTAACAAGTGGTTTCTTGCAAGCGGTTTACTCAAGTGGTTTGAGTTAGCTTTACTTTATAGGTTTTACAGTGAAGGTATGTTGTACATTAACTTTCCCTATGAATTAATTGTAGTGAATTAGTTGGTATAATTTATTGATTTAAAGATTTAAGGAATGGTTTATTTTAGCAATTATTAAATGGAGTTTTGATGCATGCGTTGTACAAGAGTTTCTCAACCCTGTTCCTGAAGGTACACCAGTACAAGATTTCAACCTCTTACTAATCTGATGCTCCTGAATCAACTCGGCAGAACATTTAACCGATCCCAAAACCTGAAATTAGTGGGTTAGATTGATAAAGACCTCAAACGTTTAGCTGGTGTGCCTCAAACAGAGTTGGGGAAACGCTGCCTATAAAGTCACTGTGGAGAAGCAAAAAAAGAGCTACAGTAAACAAAGTTAATTTAAAGCACTTCTCACAATGCTGTTTCAGGTAACTTTTGTAGCCGTTTATTCCCTCTTCTGCCCCCTCATAGGTAACAGTGGGTGTTGGTAAGCTGTTGGGTGATGAGAAAGTTGATGCCATCTACTGCGTGGCAGGAGGTCAAGCAGAGGGCAACGCTAAAGCCAACTGTTAGTTCTGGTCTTGCAGGTTTTTCAGACCTTATGTGACAGTGATTTTATTGCATGATTTTTGACTCCATATGAAACTAATATTTTTTTCTCAGCTCTGTACAAGTATGCTGATCTGATGTGGAAGGAGAATGTGTGGACCTCCACCATTTGTACTCACCTAGCAACCAAATACCTGAGAGAGGGTGGGCTGCTCACGCTGTCAGGGGCCAAAGTAGCGCTGGGGCCAACAGCAGGTGTGCAATTTATTATTATTTTTTTTCCTTTCGTCCTCTATTCCCTTAAACTGTTATACGAATGTATAGACAAACCAAATTCTTAATCTTAAGTGCTTCTAATTTACTAAATTAACAACTTTGAAACAAGCTGTTGACAATTTCCACAACTTTTGTGCTTTTGAGTTCTATGCAAACTTCGTCACGCTCGAATTATGTTAAATTTGATTTTTATTTTTTTTTTCAATTTAGTTATTGAGGTTCTTATTAAATGACAACTTGTTAAAAAAAAAAAAAAAACTCCCCATAATGTAAGTTCTTTAAATTAAGACTTTCACATACGCTGTGCTGTATGGAATGCAAAAACTTTGAAGCTCAACATCTCTATCATTAAGAAAGCAGATGGAACCTTATTCCAATGTTACTTCTTGCTGAATTGCTATAGAACAGTGGTCACCAATCTCATACCTGGAGGTCCGGTGCCCTGCAGGGTTCATCTCCAACTTGCCTCCAACCTACCTGCGGGTGTTTCAAGTTTACTTCGTAAGACCTTGATTACCTTTTTCAGGTGTGTTTGATTAGGGTTGGAGCTAAAATCTGCAGGACATTAGACCTCCAGGAAAATGTTTTGTGATCGTTGCCATAGAAAATCGGTATCTTTAGCTGAAAATATTATTATAATAATAATAATAATAATAATTATTATTATTATTATTATTATTGTGAGCTCTTAGTTTCTTTTTTTTTATTTTAACACTGTACTAATTCTGAAACTTTTTTTAGAAGTGGCCATTTTCTAATCCAAGTAGGATTTTTAATTCCAGGAGAATCTAGTATCATGGCTCCATCAGGGTTAAAACGAGCACATTTTCAGAAGTAGCCCATTTTAAACCTCCTAGACCAGGGGTTTTCAAATTGTGTTGGTCCCGTGTCCTGCAGATTTTTCTAAACTTTGCAGGACGCCTGACCTCCAGGACTGAGATTGAACCCTAGGCTTAGTGTAATTGTCTAGTGTTTGACCTTCACTTAATATTATTTGAAAATATGCAAGTTTTCATATGGCTGTAAAGATTAAATGTACCTTATCGAATCCTACTTGGATTTGCTAAGTCATTTGTAAATAAAAGAAATCAATATGTAATAAAACAAATGGGATTTGTTTAATGCATCAACTCTTAAAGTTTACCCAAGTGAATTTGATTTCTTGTATTAAAACAGGCCATTGATTGTTCTGCAAATACCGCTAAACTTTTCTTCTCAAAATTACTGTTTAATTTGCTATCTTGGCCATACAAGATGGAATTTTTTATTATTATTTTTTTTTTAAATCTGGGTTTTGAGGTCTAGCGAATGGTGGATTAATTATTTTTTGGATGTGACTTTGTTTGCTTTCTCTCCCATTGTTCTAGAATCTGTTAGTTTTGGAATGGCAAAGGCATCTGTACATCAGCTGACCCGGAGTCTCAGTGGGCCAAACAGTGGTCTTCCACCGCGATCTGTTGCTCTAGCAATCCTACCGTAAGAAATGCAAACACACAGAGTGCACTCATTGGTCCAGAATCCTTGTTTGACTAATATTTACTACTATTTTAGGGGAACATTAGATACACCTACAAATAGGAAGATCATGCCTAATGCTGATGTCAGTTCCTGGACCCCGCTTAATCATGTAACCCAGTAAGTATACGTGTATTTAGAGCATCTGGAGTTTGTCTGTGTGCACAAAGATATGATGATTTTCTTCTATTCTAGGCTGTTCTTTAAGTGGACTGTTGGAGAAAGCAGACCACCTTCAGGTAGTCTTGTGGAGCTTGTTACCGCTAATGGCAGAACAGTGGCTACTCCTATTAAAAGCCCTTAGCATATTAATCAGCTGTCAGTCTCCCAATAAAGACTCTTTTAAACTTCTTTGCGCTGTCTTTACTAACCTGCTCGTACATCACTCACATGCTTTATTCAATCTTATTGGAAACTATATATATTATTTTTCTAATTTTTAAACCGCAAATAGCACGGTGTAATTTAAGTGACTTTTTGATAAGAATAAGACTGTTTAAACTGTCTCTCAGATGTTTGTCTCTTGACTAACACCTCTAGTTACTCTGGTGTGTAGATGAGACTGGTGTTGGCTGGGAGTGCTTATCTTGCTGGATCTTTTTTTTTTTTGTTTGTCCTCATTCTATTGTAGCTTTTAATACTGACAAATTATTATGAATTTTTTTCCTTCCCTCCCCTCTTTGTAAAGATTTAAACTGATTCCATTCGCCACATCTTTGCTGCTTCCACTAAAGGTAACAAACTGATTGAAAATACTAATTCCTAGATTTAAAAAAAAAAAAATTTCAGTGAGTTTTCAAAATAGGCTTCAAACAGAAAATAGATCATCCTGCTGCAAACCTAGCATTTATGATCAAAAACAACAGCCATCATTGTCATTTTACTCTAAAAAAATTCTGTAGGCCAATCTATCTTTTATAAATTAAATTTTACAAAATTCTGTCATATAATCGTTTATTTTCTTGTCGGCTTAATCCCTGTATTAATCCAGGGTCGCTACAATGGAATGAACCGCCAACTTATCCAGCACATTTGTATGCAGCGGATCCCCTTCCAGCCGCAACCCATCTCTGGGAAACATTCACACACACACTCATACACTATGGACAATTTAGCCTACCCAATTCACCTGTACCACATGTCTTTGGACTGTGGGGGAAACCGGAGCATCCGGAGAAAACCCACACGAAGGCAGGGAGAACATGCCAACTCCACATAGAAACGCCAGCTGAGGTTCGAACCAGCGACCTTGCTGTGAGGTGACAGCACTATCTACTGTGCCACAACCTCGTCCATATACGCATCACAGCTGATTCCCATCTAGAAAGCTCACTCATATGTTGAGGTTTTTCCAATCACTGGTCATATGTTTTAAAAGAGGACTCTTGAGGCTCTTGTTTTTGAAAGGAACAGTGAGTGCATTATAGAACTCCGTCACCAATACGTCCAGGTAAGGTTATGCAATACAGTCATTACTGTACTATACGCAGTGTGTTTTGCAGTACTCTTTAAACCTGGAGTTTATAAGTACATAGTGTACTGTACTGGATATCTACAGTGTGTCTAATTTTAGAGAGTCTAGGAATTGGAGGCCAATCAAGTCCCACATGAAATTATTTGTTGACGAGGCTGACTTCAACTTGGTGAAAAGATGTCAACAATAGGCCAAAGGGCCACAGTTACCGTACCGGGCCAGAAAAGAAGAAGCCGGGCAAATGCAGAAGATCGGGCAGAATGGAAGATTCCTTTGTTTTTTTATTATAATTGCAGTGCTTTTTCTGTGTGTATATCTTGCAGTAATATCCTTTTGCAAATACTGCAGCAATTATGTGTCTTTATTTTATTTTTTAACATGAACTGTACATTTTATAAAGCTACTCTGAGATGGTCATTCATTTTTTTGTATTGAATTTCTACAGCAAAAGAAAGAAAATGCCTGCATTAACTAAACCCAGCAAAACTAAAATGTAGAGGCTTCAAATATAAGGGCACAGCTGACATAAAATAATGCAATGTCAGCTGATGATAGTGTTTTTATTGTCAGTGTGTTCTGATTGACAATGTTTCTGTTGGAAGAGAACGTGTGTTAGTGTTTTGAACAATTATTTCATTTTGAAACATGATTGCAGTGTTTTGTCAGACATGGTGCATTGTGTTAGTTCATTACTGTATTTTGAACAATAGTTTAGAGGTTTAGTTCACAATGTGTGATTTTGAGTATGAAGTTAACCGTTTTGCCAATTGTGTGTTTAGGTGTGTTGCTGCGTTAAGAGTTTAGGAAACTTGTTAAATGTATTGAAAAAACTGCGCCATTGTAAAAACAAAACAAAACTGTAGTTCACCTCAAAACAAGACTATGGCTGTCATGTGCTGGAAGTTATACAAATTTTAAATAACTCATATTAATTGGCCAGAAATAACCATATTAGTCTCTTAGTCCCTGACATTATCTTCTGCAGGTACAGTGTAAAAACTAACAATAGACGGCTGCTTTTTAGGGCTGTCTAAGCTAATGAGAGTGAGATTGTCACCAATGGGCGGGGCAAAATGATTGTCAACTTTATCGTTTGGAGTTGGGAAAAGGTGAAGGAATTGTGTGGAACCCAGCTATTTTTTTTACAGTGTACAAAGGAAGAATGTCAATCAAATGGTTACTAAAGACTTTTATGAATTGTGATTATAAAAAATACGACACAATTTTACCATTAGAGGATGTCTATATTCACACACTGTTGCCACACATCTGGGATTGTAAAATTGATTTTTGCATAAGAGGTCCCCTTCAATACAGTAAATTAAAGTAAATGGAAAAACAGCACATTTCAGACAAATACGTAATGCCAAAAACAGTTCATGAATATATATTTTTAGATTGCAATAGAATTTGGAGTTCACATTTATAAATACATTCAACAAACATACGAATAAAATAACCTGTAAATACACTTTAAAGAAGAAAAAACACTGCTTCTGAAGATGCCTTTGATGAATAACTGTTACCACTTCCTTACATCTGTAAATAAACAAAAAACAAGAAAGATATTTAAAATCACTAAAAATGAAAAGCACAGGTTCCGAGATGTATTTCCTGTGACTGTCCACTAGAGGGCGCTGTCACTTTATAATCTCACCTGCTACACTCTCCACAAACGCTTTAGGGAAGAAGCCCTCTCTGCCATTGATTCTTCCGCTCCACCATTCATCATCTACATGAGCTGTGACCAGGATTCTGTCTCCCTGCTGGAAGGGCAGATCCTCCTCGGTCTCTGCTGTGAAGTCATAAAGTGCTACAGCCCATTCTGCACCATTGCTTTCAGCCTGTAGATAAACAACAAAAAGAACATTCTGCTTTACCTGCAAACACAGTTCCCTTACTTCAAGAGACTTAAAACATTAGCTGAGGGCAAAATAATTAGCTCTCTATTGAAATTTGAATTATATGTTTAATGTCCTTTCAGCTGCAATCCAGTACTGGGAAACACCCATATATGCTCACCCATATATGCTCCAATATGCTCACATTCTCACACTCATACAACATTACTTCATTTATCCAGCCAGCATGTGTTGGGGGTCTACTCTTTTCCACTTAAATAATATTAAATGTCTTGCTAGTAGTGTAGTGAAAGCAATAACCGAATGTATATCTTTACTGCCGAAATGTACTTTTGAATTTTTCACCTGAAGGATAAAAAATGGGTGAAAGTAAACGCTGAAAAAAAGTTTATGCTATGCTGCACTGCACTTTAGAGTTCAGCTCATTGGTTTCACTCTCCCTCCAGCTGCACCGAGTGTAGAGGCTTTCACGCTGGACACGGAAAGCACTGCACCATGCAAAGGCCGGTTTGCTGTTGGTCAAAGTTCAATATATCTCAATATTTCTGATAGAAAATGTCCAATTTCATTTCATCCAATTTACACACCACATGTCTTTGGACTATGGGGTAAACAGGAGCACCACATGAACATATGAAGAACATCCAAACTCCACACAAAAATGCCAACTGGTCCAACTGGGATTCAATCCCAACTCAGCGAATTATCTGTTAAACATTACTTGGGAAATATTTGAAACTGAATTAAAATATCACCAAAGGGCTAATCATTTTGTCTTTAAATGAATAATCATTAAATATTAATATGAATTTCATAATATTGTCTACATTATTTTTACTATTCATACTTTTTTATTGGATGTCACAAACTTATAGAAACTTCTAACTATAGAAGGTAAGACAAGTGGTTTGTTCAAAATAACAAATTTACTTCCTATCATGAAATAAAGTGAAGTGAATGCAGGATTGCTTTAGTAAATGAAATGTACGGTCAAAAATGAGCAGGTTGCCATTTATATAATCCCAATTTACAGAAGACTAGAATCATCATTCTATGCATCTTCTGCCTTTTGTGTTTCACAGAATAAAGTTAGTCATGCAGAGTGTCAGGATGAGTAAGCATTTTGTTTAATTGCTACTTCAATGGGACATTTTAGCTAAAAAAATAAGATAAAGTAAATGTCAGTGGTTATCTGCTGTTTGCTTTATTCAAAATACTTTTTTTTTTATTCAACTGAAAAATGATAAATAAATAAATAAATAATGTTAATGTTTGGAACCACTTGAGGATGAGTAAAGTTTTATTTTTGAGTGAGTTTAAGTGCTGTTCCGCTAGTACAGGAAATCATGAATGAGTTCAGATGGTAAGATGGGTACCTCACTGGCTCTGTATGATGATTGTGTAGATGAGCTGGCCATTCCTGAAAAATAAAACACAACCTACTGTAAATTAATGTAACGATAACATCCATTATAAAAACAACTCTGTGCCAAAATACTGCACTATTCCTTAAGTTATAAATATTCTAGAGTTTCAACCAATTTCTTCGTTTGCTTTGTGAACTTGACTGATTCCTGATCTCGATTGAGTGCCTGCATACAAATGCAGTTTGTGAATGAATTGCACTTTATTATTGGGCATGTAAAAACTGTTCATTTGCTCCAGGAGCTGCAGTTAAGAGAATCATCTCATCTATCCACGAGAAAACAATCTCCCTGTTCACTACAGTGTGAAGAAGTTTCACCCGGGCCTTAATGAAACACAAACAGAAGGGCAAATTCCTCACATTCCTGCCATAGGGAGAGCAGCCCACTCACTGAGTCACTGATGCTGATGCTGCAATACAACTTGTTGTTGATGCTGAGCGAAGATTAGAAATCTACAAGTTGGTCAAGTTCATAGCAAACTGAACATGATGCATGTTTTCTGAAACTGCAGAGGCAAAATGAACATTTCAGGAGTTCCCATGGAATGCTCTTGGTTCCATTTTTGAACTCTGAGGCATACACCCAGTG